TAGTTGCTTAGAGTTGCAGCTGAGAGGCCGGCAAATTAGGCGGGGAACGTTGGAGTCCGCCGTCACTGGAGCAAGCAAGCCTCCCTGTTCGCTTCAGTGCATGGCTGCCGGCCGCCATCTTGGCTGACAGTTAATTTGCATAAGGATATGCTGATTAGCCAATGGGAAGGGTATCGGTCGTACGCTAATTACCATGTTTCTCTTTTATTAGTGTAGACTAGTAGCCTGGTGCACGAAATTCGTGCACTGGGGTGGGGGGGTGGAAAGGGGCTCTTCAGTCTGGCCTTCACCCTCTCCAATCTGAGACCCCTCAGGGAATGTCCAACTACCTGTTTGTGCCCACACTTTTAACAGATAACAGCTCCATTGTTGTTTCTTTCTTATGCTTAAAACCATTGGAATTAGTAGGTATTCAAAGTGTGTATACATTTTGGGGGGACACCCTGTATATCTCTAGTCAGTGGTGAAAAACCAACAGCACATTTGGAACACCCAGACAGGAAACCTTGCTCACTCCCCACATGTCTCCCCACTTCACTTTCCACCTTCGTGGGCAGCAGGAGAATTAACATTTTCTCTCATTTATTCGGAAAAGCATGTCCTGTCACCTGTAGCTGGGCAGGAGTGCGCTGGGCCCCAAGCAAGCAAGGCTCAGTCAGGGCAGCCTTCACTCATGGGTGCTGGCACCCAAAGTGCACATTCCTCCTCTACACTCGCCCCGACTATTCCACTGTTTCACTGAGAGGACGGAATTCCTCTCCGCCCTTGGGTTCTTGATCTTGAACGCTGACCGAAGGCACCTCAGAGAGGGCCGCCCGCGCCCACCAGGTGTGTCTGTCTGCACCTGCTCCTGCCTCAGCACCTGCATTAACCCCCCAGAGGTGATCTCGTAGCTGCACTGGCCTCCGTGGGAACAGGGCATCACCACTCCGCCCTCTCACTGTCATCTCACAGGCGCCCACCCTCACACCCAGAACACCCAGACACTCTCCAAAGGACATGAGCGCATCAGAGGGGATGTGTGCACATCCGGTGGGGGTGTTAGGCATGCAGGGTTGATGGAAGTGTGGTGGAGAGGCGGGGGGAACTTGTGCACGCCTTGGTTTGCAACTGTTGCAGGCGCGGGAGGGTGACAGTGTGCTGGAGGATGTTTGCATTCCAGGGGGGGATGTGCACACCAGAGGCCTCTGGCTTTGCAGATCCGCAATCCCCCATGGTGCGGCCAGGAGGACGTCAGTCTG